TGTGGTACTGTGTCAAAGGGAAGTTGCACTAATGTCTACAACATGTCGGATTACATGTTTCACTAATCGGTTTCCTAGTGGTTGGTAGCATTTAACTTTGTATCCACAGATATCAGTAACATCTGAAAGATCTAGTTCCTCACTGTGTTTGTAGTCCATTGCGATTAAGTTCCTTTGTTTGTTAGGTCTAATATTGTGCACTTTGATCTTAAATAAATTGGGAATGGCATTATATAGGATACTTTTTGCCCTGCTATTTCCGAAAACACTCCTATCTTCGTCATCAAAGGCAATAATGAATGTCTGCAAACCAGGAGAACTTGTCCTAACTTGGTTGAGTGATGGATGTTGATACTCAGGTCGCAAAGGGCTGGGGTGGTCTCTGTTTACCTCTGTATGATTGTGGCATGGCCCCTTTAATCTGTTTGCCTAACTGTGATGTTTACTTTCCTGGAAACGTCCATCTCAATCCTTCTCTAAGACTGGGCAACAATCATGATCTATATGTTTGCCATGTGACAGTGTTTTCTTAAACCCTCAAAGGTATTGTGAATGTTTGTAGGAGAGATGCTGCACGCATCTCCAGCTGTCGCCATGTCGGGCCGCCACCCGTCTGGTCAACTAAAAGGCAGAGAAATCTGGTCTAACTCTGACACTGGGGAGATGTATTTTTCTAGTTGTATTCACCTAGTTGTGCTTGTGGGGGGTTGAGCTCTGTCTCTTTTGGCCTGCTTCTCAACTGTCAATCAATCGACTTTTTTTTTTCATACACACACACCCTAGGAAGAAGCTTGTAACAGCTGTCTTACTCCCAGGTACCTATTTACTGCTAGGTAACAGGAGCATCAGGGTGAAAGAAACTCTGCCCATTTGTTTCCGCCATTGCTAGGGATCGATCCAGGGCCATAAGACTACGAATCCAGAGCGCTGACCGCTCAGCCACAGGCCCTATATCTGACACTTGTATTGACCCATGTCTGAATCTTGCATTGACCCATGTCTGAATCTTGCATTGACCCATGTCTGAATCTTGCATTGACCCATGTCTGAATCTTGCATTGACCCATGTCAGAATCTTGCATTGACCCATGACTGAATCTTGCATTGACCCATGTCTGAATCTTGCATTGACCCATATCTGAATCTTGCATTGCCTGGGGGTCGCTGCCTAGGGGACGCTGCCTGGAGGTTGATAAAAAACGTGTCTCAATTTTTCCTATTGGGAAAGAATACTGTTGTAAGGCAGTATCTTGAGTTATCTTGAGATGATTTCGGGGCTTTTTAGTGTCCCCGCGGCCCGGTCCTCGACCAGGCCTCCACCCCCCGGAAGCAACCTGTGACAGCTGGCTAACACCCAGGTACCTATTTTACTGCTAGGTAACAGGGGCATAGGGTGAAAGAAACTCTGCTCATTGTTTTTCGCCGGCGCCCGGGATCGAACCCGGAACCACAGGATCACAAGTCCAGCGTGCTGTCCGCTCGGCCGACTCTTCATCAACCTAGATTGACATAATACCTGGTACAAATACCTGTTGGACCTCAGAAATTTATAGATTTTTAAAGTTTTCTGATTAGATCTTTTGGCTGGGTGAAGGGACTGAGGCTGGCTTGGTTAAGAGGTGCCAGTAATCATTGGGTTAGTGGGCTCATTGAAATTGGGTTTTTACTAGGCAAGAGGTCATTGGAAGATATTGTTGCATTTTTCCTGACTGGGTTGAGTAGTTTTTGCTGTTAGGCTACAAATTTTTGTTTGATTGCCTAGAGTTCTAAGATGCTATTGTATGGGGGTCACTGGATGTTAGAATTCTTCCAGCAGGTCTTTGTTAGGTGATACCTCCAATGGTGTTAAAGGGGGAGGGGTTGCTTAAGCATCTGTCGAACAGTATTTACTTGGCCATAAGACGATTTTTAGCTGCAAGGCTTAGTGTTTATCCATGACACGGGAATGACAGGGAACCTGTTCATTCCCATGAACCTGTCAACAAGGCCAGTGCCTGTTGTGTCCAGTATATCAGATACATTTGTCTGGTAAATTACTCTCTACTACCAGTCAACCCAACATTGTATCCATAATTCACTCACTTAAAACAAAGCTGGGAACATTAGTGATATACCTTCTATGAAATACAGTGGCACCTCAACATACGATTGCCCCTACTTACGATAATTTCAAGTTACGATGTAAATTTCATCGGAAAATGCGACTCGACATCCGATGGTGTCATCGACTTCCGATATTTGTTGGTACACGTTCGGGTCGACCGAGCGCGTGGTTCCCAATTATGCGGCCGACCTGCCTCAGTTTACTACAGCTGCCTGCTTAGTGAAGATTGCGCCTATAAGAAATTCTGCTTTTGTGGTGATTTTTTGCAATTTGAACATTAAAGTAATTATTATATATCACGCCATGAGTCCCAGGAAAGTCAGTGGTAAGGCTCAACATATGAAAACCCATGTAAGGATGACCATAGAGCAGAAACAAGAGTACAGAATGTCTCTTCCTCAACAATTAAGAAAATGTGTGCAGCATGGGAAGAATTGCAAACCTTTGCTGAAATGACTCACCCAAATTAAGCTGCAGTAGGTCGTTGCCTTATCCTATTCAATGACACTGTGATGCATCATTACAGACAAATGTTAAAATGAAAGGAAAAACAAATGCCTCTTGACAAATTTGTAGTGAGACAAACAAGCACTGAACCACAACCAGGTCCTAGTGGTATTCAGACAAAACGTAGAAGAGAGAGTACCCCAGAGAAAACATCACTGCCTGATGTGATAATGGAAGGGGACTCCCCTTCCAAACAGGAACAACTCTCTTCCTCCCCCCTCATCACCATCTTCCATACGCCATTAAGAGCCCTCCATAAAGGTAAGAGACACTTTGGTACTGTATTGTAGTTAGAAAAAAACATTGTATTCAGTATAAAATGTATTTGTATGTTAATATTTTGGAGGGTGGGGAACGGATTAATTCAATTCTCTTTATTTCTTATGGGAAAAATCACTTCGACTTACGATATTTTGACTTACGATTCGTCTCTGGGAATGGATTAGCATCGTAAGTCGAGGCCCCATTGTGTAAGAGTGCTGTCCCTGCTCTTGCACTACCTATAGCTCTGCTATTCAACAAATCTCTACTGTCATACTTTCCTGACAAAAAAAAGCACGCGTAACGCCAGTTCATAAATGAGGCGAGACAGGTGACATAAACAATTACAAACCAATATCAGATCTACTGATACTATAAACAAATATTTGAAAAAATAATTTACAAAGAGCTCTATTTCTACCTCGTGAAACTCAACATATTACGTCCTTGCCTGTTTGGCCTCCATTCCAAAAGAAGTACCAATGATGCCATTATTAGTCTACTTAATATAATCTACACAGCCCTAGACAAAAATGAGTTCCCAATTAGTCTCTTCATTGACCTGACAAAGGCCTTTCATATTGTAAACCATAACTACCTCATACTTAAACTTTACCACTATGAAATCCAAGGCCTTGCTCTGAACTGTATTCGATCCTATCTTGGTGACAGAAACCCATATGTAGCCATCAATGACATAACCTCCCCACTCTACCATTAACCATAGGAGCGCCACAGGGCAGCATGTTTGGACCTCTCCTATTTCTTGTATACATCAATGAATTGCCAAATGCTTTTAACATTCTTAGGCCTAAACTATTTGCAAACGATACTACCTTCATTTACTCAAGACCCCAACCCTCACACACTAAATAATATTGTAAATAATGAATTAAAATAAGTCCACTCATGGATATCAACCAACAAACTCACACTAAACATACAAAAAACCTACTACATTTTATTTGGAAGTAAATCATCTAACCTAATTCAACTTCAGAAAGACAATGTTAACATTAGCAATACAAATGAATGGAGTTTCATTGGCCTATACATTAACAGCAGTCTAAACTTCAGCACCCACATTCAACACACCCACATACAACAAAAATAAAGTCTTAGAAACTGTCGGCATACTCTTTAAAATCAGATATTATGTTCTCCACTCTGCTCTCCTCTCATTATACACTTGCTACTCTATCCCTGTCTTACATATAGTATCTGTGCATGGAGTTCATCCACTGCAAATTACCTCAAGCCCATCATCACCGAGCAAAAATCTGCTATAAGAACTATAGCAAACTCTCTTCCAGCAGCACACAGCCCCTCTGGTTAAGTCCCTAAACATGTTAAACATACACTCACTCTACACATTCACATGTGCTATTTACATGTACAAAATTTTGTTCCTAAATGCTACTTCTGATCTGAAACGCTTCCTTGGTAGATGTAATAGAACCCATGAGCACCACACCAGAAATAAATCTCTCTTTGATATTCCCAGTCAAACTAAATCTGTGCAAACACTTCATGCAAATTAAAGGACCCAGTCTATGGAACTCATTCCCTAATGAATTAAAAAATTGTCCAACAAACTGCCTTATTCAAAAGTAAAACCAAAAATTACCTAATTTCATCCTCGTAATTTTCTATTTATTCTTCAAACTCACACTATATCTTGTGCTATGCACTCCTCCAATATTAGTAATTAAAACATGCATCTTCATCAGTATAATCATCCTCTATTTATATTGAAGTTATTATGTTGAACTCCAATTTTGCTACAATATACCTATTCATCTTACCTTATCTATTAGATAAGGACCAGCCCAAAATGCTATGAATATCATCAATAATATATGCTTTTATTAGACAATATATGCTATGAATATAAGACATATCTAGTATGTGTGCTAGTGGCCTTACAAGAATCTAAGAACACCAATGTTATGTACTTGCACAAACCCAATGTACCTTCATGTATATAAATAAATAAATAAATAAAATAAAAGTTTTCCTAGGATGATTTTAACAATTTGCATTTATAACAAAGTATTTATTCTTCAAGAAACAGAAAGAAGCAGAGACTTCATTGAGAGTTAATTAATAAAAGTTGAACGACTTGCAGGGGCTGAAGAGAGTGAGCTGGACAGTCGCAACCAGCAAAGGTCATATGCTCTTGCTGGAAAAGTATCAACACTGCGATCAGTGAGTATGTAGTTTTGTTTATCAAAGTATGAACATTCACTCTACTGCATTTACAGGTTTGTCACTTTGAGTAGTAAGGTAAAATATCTTTATAATAACCAAGAAGCACATTTAGGCAAGTAAAATATACTTGCCTACCTACCTAATGTACCTACCTTTCTGGGGAAGCCCCTTGTGGCTTCCTGAAGCTACACGCTGAGATGGTACCATCTGCTAGGTTACATGAGCCATGGAGTTTTAGGCCTACCAGAGACCAGAGCTAAAATTTCAGAGTTGCAGGGAGCAGTTGCAACCTAACCAGGAAAGGCAACTAGAAAGTCAGCAAGTCAAAACAAACTACTGCTGGATTCAAAAGAGACCGAAGCCTTGAAACCTTCTGAAAGAACTCCAACTACTGTATGTAAATAAATTACAGAATTTTCTAGAATCTAGTGCAAGCTGATTCGCCCCATTTGTTTGGCAGGGGAACAGGGAGTAGCTCACCACCTGCTAGGATCTGAGCTGTTAGTTCTACCACTGATGTAGTGCATACCTTGTCACCTCTTTTCCAAGCTGGCTCCAGTGTTCTGCCTATACAGCTGAGTGGTGTGGTGATTGCCCATGGTGGTATTTACTACCTTGCAGTGTAATTCCCTAAGTGTAGTTACAGGATGAGAGCTACGCTCATGGTGTAGCTCTCATCCTGTAACTACAATTAGGTAATTACACTGCATGGTAGTAAATGCCACCAAGCGCAAACACCACACCACTTAGCTGAATAGGCAGATCACTGGAGCCAGCTTGGAAAAGAGGTGACAAGGTATGCACTACATAAGTGGTGCTTGGAGTTGCATGTGCTCAGGGTTACCTTCCATGAGTGGTCCCCTAGTTCTGTCCTTACATTTCCAGAATTTTTTCACTGTAGTGTTTGGTATTCCCTCCCTGAGAGGTCCGCCTCACTTGTAACCCTCATCCAAGGTGAGTCAGGTGTCTTGTGGCTTCACTGTTTTGGCCCAAGTCGGGTGCAATGTTAGCTGGTGGGAGAGCACTGTTAGTTTGCTTGCTTAACGTTTCCAGCATCCTGAGGTCGGCCTTCACAACCGTGTAAATTAGGCCATGTCAGGTTACTTTTAGGTCCAATGTAGTGATCCCTCTGCATGGATGTCCTGCTTGGTCCTCCTCGTGTCCTCCTCTTCCCTGCGTGTCCTCTTCCCTGTTGGACCAAGCTCTCACAAGTCAAGCCTGGCCTTGGGCCAGGCTTGGGGAGTAGAACAACTCCCATAACTCCATCAAGCAGGTATCATGCAAGTTGGTTTATGCTTCAGGCCCTGGGAATCCCCTTCCAGGTTTGTGGTCCTGTAGATATTCCCCTCTAAATCGGTTCTCGCCTTGTACAAGTTTGAGGGGTTGTTTGTCATCTGTGGTATGCGTTGATGTTCACTTGTTCTGCCTCCGCTATGCTGCCTGTGAAGTCAGTGACACCTTTGGCCCCAAGCCCGTTGGAGTTTGGCCACCCCATGGGGGATCTTTTTTTTTTTTTCCTTCTGATGTCTTTTGAGTGTTTCAGGCAGCTTGTGCTTTGTGTTGGATTAGTTTGTCTCTGGCAGTCTAGATTATACAGGAATGCCTAGTTGGATGCTCTGGAGCTCCCCTGACCCGGTGTTTAGGTCTTGGAATGAGGGACGTCGGTGATTTCCCCCTTGGTTCTGACTGCATCTTCCCTTTCCTTTGTGCGTGGTTAGCCCTTTCTCTGATCTTCCCCCCCCCCCCTCCCCTGCTTCCGACCCTAGAACTTCCGAGGGTTTCCTGGTTGGGGCAAGTGCTTAGCTCATAATGTGGCTCTGCCAGCTCCGGGAGCTGCCCATTCCGATTCAGGCCTGGGAGCCAGTTGAGCCAGCTAGTCCCACTGGGGCTTTGAGGTTTTTCTTTTCAACTGGCCTCTTCTTTTGTAACCCTTCTCTTGGACTCCACTTTTCTATCCTGGGCAGTGGGAGTGGATGCTAGCTCAGCCCCGGGGCCTCTCAAGAACAGCTTCCAGGGCTTGTGGAAATCTCATACTGATGTTTCTTTGTTCCCTTTATAGGGGTTCACTGTTAAAGGAGTGGGTTGTTTTGTGGCCTCCCTCACTGTATGTATGTTACTATGTGCCTCTCCCCAAGGTTTAGTTCTATGTTCCTTTGGGCCTGTTGGTATTGTCCTTTAGGAGGTTTCCTTACTCTTGGGTTCCTCCTTCGGTGCCTCAGGAGGCATTCTTCACATTCCTCCTGAGAGACCAGGTTTATGTCTCTTTGCTGGCCTTTCCTCTTTTGGGTTTGGGTTTTTTCTCCTTATCATTTTACGAGGCTCCGGTGTCTTCCTGACTAGTGGACTTTCCTTGTGTGGGTGGTTATGGAGGACCTTTCTTATGTGCCTGGTTATGGAGGACCTTAGTAGCTGCCTGTTTACTCTTGTTTTTTTCTCGGTGCAAGGGTCTCGTTCAGCTCCATGCCTCAGTGCTTTTGTTACCAGGGGCACTTGCAGTGGTTGAACTTTGTGTAAATTTCCATTTGGTTTCCATCATGTAGTTTTCTGGATGGAGGGCCTCTTGTGGGGATCTTGGCCTCTGCTGTGCCTTCGTTGACTGCACTCCCAGAGCTGACTGCTCCCATGCATCAGGGATGGTGGCCTCGTTCTTCACCACCCGATCCATGTCAAGAGGCTGTTTTGGGCCATTCTTTGGATTTTGGTGTGTGCCTCGGCACTCTTGTTCGCCTCTTCTTTTTTGCCTCTATTCTTTTCGCTGTGCTGCTTGTTGGATCGGTGACACCTTAGACCAGTAAAGCATTGAATTCTTCAAGGAACCCTTGAAGCATTCCAATAGGGTTGTTCTGGAACTCACATGAGAGAATATACAGAAGGTGATTACAGGCTGTCAGTTTTTGTAATTTAATTACTGAATATAAAATAGATTCTAACAATACTGTACTTGATAGTACAGTGGTACCTCGGCTTACGAATGCCCCTCTTTACGAACCTTTCGGGTTACGAGTCCGATTTCTTTGGAAAATTTGAATCGGGTTACGAACTTTACCTCAGGAAACGAGTTTGTTGATATGCGTACGGCCGACCTAGAGCATGGTGGCATGGCGATCGTGCCTCAGTTTACCAGTGCCTCCCTCCTAGTGACTATTGTGCCTGAATTCTTTGCAAGGGGCCTCGTAGCCTGGTGGATAGTGCGCAGGACTCGTAATTCTGTGGCGCGGGTTCGATTCCCGCACGAGGCAGAAACAAATGGGCAAAGTTTCTTTCACCCTGAATGCCCCTGTTACCTAGCAGTAAATAGGTACCTGGGTGTTAGTCAGCTGTCACGGGCTGCTTCCTGGGGGTGGAGGCCTGGTCGAGGACCGGGCCGCGGGAACACTAAAGCCCCGAAATCATCTCAAGATAACCTCAAGATAACCTCAAGAAGGATTTACAGTAAATGGTACATGTGTTGTTGAACTAGCTAGGCAGTACAACAAATCTTCAGGGGGAGGAGGAGGAAGCAGTAGAGGATGTCCCTTCTTCATTAAGAAAATGTGTGCAGTATAGGAAGAACTGCAAAGTTTTGCTGAAAAGAATCACCCAGATAAAGCTTTAGGAGGCCGTTGCATTGATCTTATTAATGACAATGTGATGTCTCACTACAGACAAGAGTTACAAAGAAGGGAGAAGCAATCTTAAATGGAACGATTTCTAGTGAGAAAATCAAGCAGTGAGCCAGAAGCAGGTCCTAGTGGAATGCAGGCAAATTGTGCCAGTGTGTGTGTGTACCTCAGAGAAGTCATCATTGCCTGATGTTATAATGGAAGGGAACTCCCCTTCCAAATAGTAACCCCTCTCCTCCCCCCTCCTCACCGTCTTCCATATGCCAACAGGAGTCATCAGTAAAGGTAAGTAACAACTTGTACATACTTTTGTATTTAAGATTTGGGTGAATTAGGTATAAAATTTACTTTGAAGTTAATTTTTATGGGAGTCTGGGACGGATTAATTAATTTCCCCCTTATATCTTATTGGGAAATTTGCTTCGGTTTACGAATTTTCGGGTTATGAACCGTCTCTAGGAACGGATTAAATTCGTAAACTGAGGTACCCCTGTATAACATATCCAATTTGGTTAAATTGGCTACCCTTATTAATAAATGCACTGGACCTATCAGGCCACCTTCTACAACTCGTAATCTCAGCCAAAATCCCAAATTCTAAATCATCACTAAAACACTCTACACCTGGTTAGTCTCCTATACATTACTTACTGCAGACTCAACTCAGGTCAGCAAGATCACATCGGCTCTTTTGGTTTCTGGTTTTTCTTTGTCGCTGCTACAGGCAGATATAGAGATACTTTATAGAACCTCGACTTCCACAAGACTGCTTTCCAGCCGGTCACAGCCTTCACCACCACACCCAATCTTCCAGAGACATTATAATCATATTAAATGTAAATCTCCTTGTTTACAAGAACTTTGGATCACCATTTGTGACTTCTTGGCTGAAACATTGGCTTAGGCGGGTTAAGGCTGTCATAATCTCTTTGACCTTGCCTCGATGTGTGACCTGCCCTATTCACATGTACTACCACTCCTTTCAACCATCATTTGTTAAGTGTTGTTGTGCTTGATTCACTAGTTAATACTTACTCCTAACTTGTAAATTACAACATTCCTGTGGTGCATTCAGATGTCCTGGTTGGTTCTGACATTGGTTTGGACTTGGCTGGGCCTTATTGGGGATTCTTGCCCAATTGTCACTTGCCCTACTGCTTGCAGGTGTGCTCTGGCTGCAGCACAGCCATCTGTTGATATTAAGTTAGCCTTGGGTGGCTCAGTGGATGCTTGAGAAGTTGTGTGGGAGCCTGTACTTAGCCTGCCTCATGTTTTCTCTGGGTAAGGTTTGGCTTTAGAGGCTGTTCTGGTTTTCTTCATGGCAGCCCTTATCACTGCTGCCAAGATCATTGAGTGCAGCTTCTGTTGGCCCTGTGCAGGCTGCTGTGTCACTGGCTTCTTCAGGCTTTTTGGGGTTCAGTTTCCTGGCACCTTCCTCCGCCTTCACTTAACGTATCCTGGATGCCTTGGCTGTGGGTTGAGGCTTTGTGACCAGTGTTCACCAGGCCGACCAGGGTCGTTGGTCTCTCCTTCATCAGGGTCGCAGTACAGTTTGGGAGTTTGCAGAGAGTTTGGATTGCTCCAGTTCCATTCGGACTATCCTCCCATGGTTCATCGTCTCAACTGGGGAGTTTCACTTCAGTACCTGCCTCTTTAGAGCTGGACGCACAAGTGGCTCTTCTGGGTTCTCGGGTTTGGATCTCCATGCCATTCATGTCCAGGGAGTGTCCACTGTTCTCAATAATGGTCTATCCCTGTTCCCTCCCATCTCCATGTAGTGGACCATCAATGCTGATTCCTTCTTGCAGCTTTGTGAGATGTTCTGGCACCCAGACAAGAGGTTCTTCGCATTGGCGTGGTCTCGGTACTTCCCTCTGTATGTGGCACCATTCCCCAATTGCCAGGCCCTCAGAGTAGATGCCTTTCAGCTGAACTGGTTGAGGTGGGGGGTTCCTGCACCTCTTTTTCCTGATCCAGCTGTTGCTCCAGGTCCTAGTCAGGTTGGAGTCCTTCAGGGGGTAGGGTGATCCTTCTGGCTCCTTGGTAGCTAGCTCAGCTTCGGTTTCAGGCGTTGCTTACTCGGTGTCTGAACCTGGGCATTTTTCTTCAGCTTTAGTGGGTCGGCTCGGTGACGTACTTAGCTGGTTCAACCTTCTCCTCCACTCTTCGCATATGTCATTTTTTATGCGTGTTTATCGCCTTCTATTTGGTGATCAGGTGGCTTCGTTGATGGTGTCCCACCTGCAGTCTCCTTCGCGACAATAATTTGAGGTTTCATGGTAGTGTGTTGTTTCACCTCCAGCCTTCTCGTATACCACCTGAGGCTACTTGGTCTCTGAACTATGTTCTTTAAGTCTTTATTTTTGGTTTCTCTTGCTTCAGGTTGATGAGTGGATGAGCTTCAAGCTCTCCTCTGATGGTGGGGGTTCTGTTCTCTTGGCCCTGGTGGGTGAGTTGTTCGTCTGCAGTCGACTCCTTTTATAACAAAGAATGAATTGGTTCATTTAAAATGTAGGTTCTTTGGTCATTGATGCTTGTTTGGTTTGTTCGGGGGGTGTATGATGTATTGTGTCTGCTGACATCTGTCCATCACTATTTTCATGCCACTGATTCTGTCTCAGTGGATGCTTTGCAGGTTGTCCTCTCACCTTTGTCCCCTGTTCCATGGCTCTTCTTTCTTGGATCATCTGCAGTGTTTATAAGTCTGCCTACCTGCAGTTTACCCTCGTGCCCATGATGTTCGGAATTATGCCACTCTCTCGGCTGTGTTTGGGAATATGTCCAGCCCTAATATTCAGGTGAGGGAGTTTTTGAGGTTCTGGCGGTCCAGTATCTTGTCATTGTGCCCTGGCACTTTTGTGTGGCTTTGGGTCATGTCTCTAGGCTGTGGGTCCCTTCTTCAGCTTAGTTCTTGTGGTGCACCATCCTACTTGGTCATTGTCCTTTTGTTTTCCTATTCTGTGGGTAATTAGCTTCAGGAAGCCATAAAGGGCTCCCCCAGAAATGAATGTAATGAAAAGGCAATTTCTGGGTGATCCCTGGTCGCTCCCTGATAAACCTTCAAGGTTATTGGGGGTTGGCTACATCTATCATAGAACTGAGGGTTTAGTAGCTGGCTGACCGGGAGCTACCACCCCTTTCCCCCCAAGCCAGTGGGGAAGGAGGGGCAAACAAGCTTGTGCAAGTTTCAAGAGATTTTGATAATTTGCTTACATTGTTGGGGTAATTCTTGAGGTTGCAGTCTTTTGAAGTTAGCAGTGGTTTGTTTTGCTTTGTTGGTTTTCTCGGTGCCTTTCCTAGTGGAGGCATACTGTAAATACATAAATGTCACCACTCCCTGCACTTCTGTGAAGTGGCTAGCTTCTGGCACTGGTCCCCAGTAGGCTTTAGAACTCTGTAGCAGATGTGACTTAGTAGATTGTACACTATCAGTGATAGCAGCTTCAGGAAGCCACCAGAACTCACTCTGAAATTGGCATTTCATTACAGTCAACACTAGTTTTCTGTTTACTACCATATTTTTTGTTTTCAGCTTGCCCTTGACATAGAAAATGAAGCTTACGAACACAATAGACTGCTGGATGGTGTCAGCAATGATTTCTCCAGTGGTGAAGGCCTCTTATCTGGCAGTACAAACCGAGTTAAAAATCTCTTGATGTCTGGTCGACAGAATCGCAAAGCAATGTGTTACATGGCAGGATTTGTTGTTGTATTTGTGCTTATATTGTGGTATCTAATATCTAGACTGACTTCTGGATAATAACTTGCATAGATATGGATAGCCTCAGAAAATATTTATAGTTTTGAATATCATTGAAAAGCATGTTTTGGAAGACAGTAGAGTATATATGAATTTTTTAGGATCTGAGTATGTAGGTTATGCATTTAATAATTACAAATTTTGATGGAATTTTTTTTATTACCAGAGGTCTATAACTTTTAAACCTCTTAAAAGCAAATACTGTACAGTGGAACCTCGGTACTCAAACTATTAGTTCCTGAAGGTGGGTTGAGTGCCAATCTGTTTGAGTACTGAACAGTTTTTTCCCATAAGGAGTAATGTAAATTGGCTTAATTCATTCCAGACCACAAATAAATATATTAATGCAATAAATGCAAATACAGTATACACTTTACCTGCACCTAGGAGAGTTGATGTCATATATGGCAGGTGGTGAGGCAGAGGAAGAGAGATGTTATGCTTTGGTAGGGTGTCACCTATCATTATCACAGCTTTGTCAGGGTGATATTTTCACAAAAACTTTGCACATTCCCTTCTCCATTTTGCACACATCTTTTTTATTAGAGAACTAGATTTAGGCATACCAAACATTGTGGCAAGAGCAGACACATGGGCACCACTTTCATATTTTGTTAAGATTTATTTTTTCATCTCGAGTGTGGTTCTAACTAATTTTCTTTTTGGTTGGCTATTATTACTTTATGTACCTTGGTGACTTATTTATACTAAGAATATAAAAAATATCCAAGAAAACACAAGAAAGTTTAGAGAAGTATAGTAGTGTTGTACAATGAACAACAGCTATGGTGAAACTGATGCGTCAGTATTACGATGTTGTCGTTGTCGGTTGCCCGTTCTTAAGGACAAACCAACCCAAAATCTGTAGAGTGCTTATACTTAGATCAGGAAATCACCCTGTATGCTTCCTGTTCTTGGAGAGGGGCTCAGCATCACACATTCAGGGGGTACGGCTCCAACACTGGCCTTGTTGTCACGTTTACACACCCAACTTGAGCCGCTGTGACTCCCCACTCCTTATTTTTTATATGACCTCAATTCCCCTTTTGTTTGAACTATAACTCTGTAACACCCTGTCCACAGCTGTGGTACACTCACTCACTCACACACACACACACACACACACACACACACACACACACACACACACACACACACACACACACACACACACACACACACACACACTCACTCTCACTCTCTCTCACTCTCTCTCTCTCTTTTTTCTACTTCCTGGGAAGCCTCACTAAGACAAGGGTAAATACCTGTTCATTACAAACATTTAATAACAACACAGAACATATATAGAGCACTCACGTACAATATATAAGCATATAAACTTCAACACCTTATGATATTATAACCTGGTTGCAGACCAATACCATCAGGACTCTTTATCAGTTGCTTATACCAAGTGGTAGCCCAACTCCTGGCTTGCCACTTATGCTACCAACCTCACCAAGTGGGTTAAACCTTGTAAAACAAATATGGCACTATCAGCCCTAGAATATATTTATCTCTGAAGGTAATCCAGCCTATAGTTGTAACTCTATAAACTTCAGTATAAGTATTCCTTGGTACAAAAATGATAACCAATCACCCACCTTTCACTGCATCTGGCATGCTAATGACAATCAAGCACTCTACCAACTCCCTACAAGTAGTCAATGAGCACTTCCTTCCCACGTCTGGAAGTCCACACTAACCTGACATCATCAGGTTCTTCCAGGTTTATCTACCAGAATCCTCTACAGCTCTTCCAGGCTGCTGCACCATGAAGTTTTCCTTGGACTCCAGTGGTACTCCACCACTGATTCCACAGAAGCATGTGAAACTTCACTTCTGCTCCTCTTCACACAGTTTGAGGTCCAGTTCCTCACTATGGGGCTTGCTCTTCCACAGGGTACAACATCCACTCCTACAGCCTTGAAGTTCCACTCATTAACTTCTACTCTGGCTTCAAAGTACTCCCATCAACTCCTTCCTCAGACAAACCTGCAACCCATTGATACGCCAATAAAAATGTTCCTCTACAAACATATAATTGAAATGAACTACACACAATAAATGTTTCACCCGACATCTCCCTGCTTCCCGAACTCCGTGAGGGGACTCCTCCATTCGGATGAATCCATACTCCGCCTCGCCCGGGCAGCCCTCAAGGCAGCTACCGTTGCCGTGAGCCCATCGCCCTGTCAGTTAGCCACGGGCCTGCGAAGAGGGTGGACGCGTCGCTCCGCCCTCCAGGATGTTCCTCCATCTTTACTCTCTTATTTAATCTTTCTGCTTCAATAAAATTTGCCTAACATATCAATAAATACTTGCTATGGCCGCTGGGCACACGACCAACTACAGGCAATCACCAATAACTGGTTAACATGTGCTTAACACAAAATTGTTTCCTGCGAGGGCGCTCACTCGCCGACGTTTGACCAGGGCGCTCACACGGCTGCCCATGAAAATGTCTCAGGACGGCTTCACAACTCTTCCTGCCATCCAGGACTTACGCCCACATGTTTCCAGATTGATTCCACAGCTGAAATGTCTGCACACTTCCTTCCTCTAGAAGGTATATCAACCAGGGGGTTCTTCTCTAGCAGGAGCTCAACAGAGCGCGACTTCCCCTCACGATTTCTGATGCTCAAGTGAGGTCAACGTCCTCAGAAGCGAGCCTCACACCCCCAGCAAATTCTCCACATCTCATGACCAGTTACTTATTTATATTCTTATTCACTACCTATACTTGCAAACTATTTGTCAAGTTCAATCGAGTGTTTACTATATAAATATCCAGGTCTATATCTCCTTAACCCCTCAACTGCGCAACGTGCCTGCAGGCCCTCGATGGGGGTCCGCAACTCGCCTCCGGGTATTTATATTTTTAGCGTTCCATTCAAAACTCCCGTGGCTACATGGGGTTCCACATCAGCTTCCTCAGGGCTCTTGTAAACAGACGCCATCTTTAAAAAAAATCGTGGGCCACATTCCCGGGTGTGAGAGCCTCAGTACTGAGTGAGCAACCAAGGCTGACGCACACAGTTTGAGCTCACAGCACTGCTGTTCAGCTTGTGACCACAGCATCGCCTAATAATGTCAAAATATATATGTAACTTGTATTATTTAGCCTTGATAGTGTTACAGAAGAGCCTGAGTGTGATAATGACTGTGTACAATGTTCAAATATCAGTGATTCAATGCTGTTCACGATGTTCACAGCACCACAGCATTATTTCGTCCATCTAGGATTCTTCAAACGACTTCCTACGTTCCTTTACAAAATAAACTTGTGGTCAATTATTCATTTACAGGATTTAGTGACCAGTATTGTGATAACAGCAGGATTGTGGTGATAATTAGCACTGTACGTAGTATTGTGGGAGGAGGAATTGTGGTGAGGGAGGGAGGGAGGGAGAGAATCGAGGTAGCCTTACTGTGTGTGTGGCAGCCACTCTTGTTTTGCTCATCATAATAGCTTAGTGGTTCACTATGGAGAACACATATGTACATGGGTATATACAATGTGTGTATATACCCATGTACATATGTGCGTAGTATTGTGGGAGGAGGAATTGTGGTGAGGGAGAGAATCGAAGTAGCTTCACTGTCTGTGTGGCAGCCACTCTTGTTTTGCTCATCATACTAGCTTAGTGGTTTGCTATGATAGAACACATTTGTACATGGGTATATACAATGTGTGTATATAGTGTAATAACAGCAACCGGAGTAAGTTGGGAGGAGCTATTTTGGTGAGGGAGGTGACGTAATCATAGCGTCGTTCACTGGCTGCTGTGTGATTTCTCATGCAGTGTATGATGGCCAATGTAAAGTTTGGACACAATACCGGCTTACTTGCATAGTTCTGGTGAATAAAACATGTAGATAGGTATACATAACATGTGTAAACAGTATAATAAAAACAATAACAGTATGGTGGGAGGAGCAATGTTGGTGAGTAAGATGTTGGAGGAGTGAGGGAGATTGGCTGGTGTGGCAGTTGACACCCGTGGAGTTCTGAGTGTGTTGATGCTGAATGTATATAGTGTGTGATAGTGTATAGTGTGTAAATAGATTGTATATATACATAAATTAGCATGATGCATGGGAAATATGTGCAACATATGTGTACACGTCATGCACGGGACCCGGTCAGCCGAGCGGACAGCACACTGGACTTGTAATCCTGTGGTCCTGGGTTCGGTCCCAGGCGCCGGCGAGAAACAATGGGCAGAGTTTCTTTCACCCTATGCCCCTGTTACCTAGCAGTAAAATAGGTACCTGGGTGTTTGTCAGCTGTCACAGACTGCTTCCTGGGGGTCGAGGCCTGGTCGAGGACCGGGCCGCGGGGACACTAAAGCCCCGAAATCACCTCAAGATAACCTCAAGAAGTAACACTGTCTCTTCGGACAGTACTGATGTTCTACTGCCATAATATAGTGTACGTGTTCATTATACATAGGATTGGCACGAAAAAACAAATTGAATGTATTTGGAATTGTGCGCAAAAAATGAACAAAAATATATTCGTGGCAATTAGCGCATCTTGAGCCTGGCACGTTAGTAGCCCCGGGGGCATATGCCAGGGGGGGACCAGGGATTGATGACGTCACGCGCAAACTTACGAACTCCATAGCAGCCAAAGTAAGTACAATTTTTACTTTTTGTTAACATATCTATACTCGGGGAAGGGTTTTCGACACTTAAAAAAAAAAAAAAAAAAAAAATCCAGAAAATTTATTTCCTGTGCACTGGGAGAGGGGGAGGGTCATATTTGGAAGCTGAGCAGTTGAAGGGTTAACCTCTCAGTTAGGTCAGGCCTGGCAGAATATCTCTCAAGGGGAGACTCGTTTCTCCTGCAGCCTGAGACCATAACAGTCAGGGACACGTTTACATGAGTGCCAAGCAAACAGTTGACTACTGAACATGAACAGCGTTCAAGTGCCAAAATGTACGAGTCGTACGAGTACGAGAGCAGTTCGAGTACCGAGGCTCCTCTGTATATGAATATTGCTGGAACCAAGGGAACCCAGTTTTTTTCTTACAAAGTTGACAGATAAACCTGCATTTCAAGAATCTTTGATAGTGTATATGGCATATATTGATTTTTTAATATTGTATAAATATCAGTTAATAAAATATATTTAAATGATATTGGATAACTAACAACCTATTTTTATATTTTTATGTATATTGTTATTTTGTTGTAAGTGGTTCACTAGGCATGATGTATGGCAACATCAACTTTGTATCTTTAAGAATATTTGAATAAATTGTTTTCTTCTTTTAAAATATAAAAGCAAGACAAGTTTTGCCAATATCTATGTTTTATTATACATATTTCTAGATTAATACATTTTTACTCCATTAA